GTGTGGTAGTTGCTTTATCTTAATCTTCTAAATAGTATGTATGTTTTGGAGCAGCCTCTTATCCATTCTGTTTAATATTTGTGCCTTCCTTGGAAAGCGTTTGCGTCTTTTTTTCTTCTTGAACTGTGGGATTGAAAGTTCAACTGGACTGTGAACCCAGGACTGGTAGAGTTCTGCACAGGAGAAGTTTTAAAAAAGAGCAGCAGAGGCCAGAGTGAGAACAGCTAGTGAGACACTACAGTGAAAAAAGTCAGAGCAGACAATAGGCAGAATGAAAAATAAATGCAAACCTTAAACTATCAAAATCCTATAGAATTCCAATGATCTCCAGGCACGCCTCCAACCTCTGCCGACAGAAGTGCTGGGGCTCTTCCAGTGCAGCCAAAACACGGTGGGATTGCTAATGTGAGAGGAAGTGCTTTGGACCAATACAGTGTTTCTGCTTTATTTATGAAGGCAAAAAGATGATGGGTGAAGAAAAGAGTGAGAGGGAAAAGAGAAAAATGAATAAAAACCAGAGTCCATATACTGTGAAGCTCCCACACTTGTATCATTGTAGCTTTGGAATGCGGGCAGGCTCTTCTATTCCGAACATGCGGCACACATTTCACGTTAGCTAGGAAAACAAGGGGTTTGGGGACGGTTGTTTTTGTTTTTTAAATGAACAAATCATTGGGGGTGCTGAGAGGAGGTGGATCTGGCCTGCACAACCCTTCTTGCTGGTGAGAATGCATGAAATGGAAAAACTAACAAGCTGTGACTTTTAGAGCTCCAGCTGGAGTTTGCAGGGCTGGAAGTCAGGGGTAGGGGTGAACTATTTCTACTTGTCACCTGAGAATATTTGCTCTTGAAATCATTGAGACATGACAATGGGTGAAACCTTCCAATGCCATCATCTTGGTCTCTCTTGAATGTGGAGCCATATTTTAAGGGCTCAAAGGGAACTGGGGGTAGAGAGTCACACCTCCCTAGCTAGAACTCCTGGAAGCTTGTGCCGCCCTGCGGTACAATGTCTCCAGGGGCAGACAAGGCAGCCTCTCTGGAAAGCCATGTTTCTGGGTTTGCTAGTTCCTGCAGCAACAGTGGTGCATAGAAGCCCTGGCATGCTGGAGAGCTGTTGTGCCTGGTTCTTGTCTGGTTGCATGAAGAGAAGTCTCCTGGTGCCCTCCCCACCTTTCATGTGGGGAGTAAGCAGTCTCATCTCGCCCTAAGTCAAAAACGGAAAGTGAGCAAAACAGTATCCAAAGTGTCTCCAGACCAACAGCGTGAGATGTCCGACTGACAGAGAGCTCAGCTGGACTCAACCCCCATTTGTGAAATGCTCGCAAAGGGAAGGATTTATGCCTTGCCCTGCTGCTGTCTTTAAAACAGTCTGTGTCTTCACAGAATTCACTAACTGTACAATAGCCCCTTGGTCTGGAACTGCTGCATCTCCGATACAAGCATGTATTCGGCTTCTTTTTCTAGCAATGAAAGATATTGTAACTCCTGGTCTAAGCTCATGCATTTATTTTAATGTAATAGGGTCACCCAGTCTAAACCACTATCAATAATTTAAACAAGAAAGGATAAACATCCTGCCAGTAAATCTGTTTGCATTTTAAATTAAACATGAAAGGTATCTTGAGGCATTTTATGCCCCTGTTATTTTATATTGCTAGGTCAGCCACCTTACAGTAGATGTATTAGCATCAGTGTTCAAAGGGCAAATCCGCCGCCTAGATATTCACCGTGCTTTGTGCCATAGCAACTCTGTGGGACCCTTGCAGAGGTTTCATTGGGCCTCTGCACCTCCTTGTGTACTGGGCAGGAGGGATCCCACACTCAGCAGCACAGAGAGGGACAGTGCAAGTGAGCCAGAAGAAGTTGCCACTGGCTCCTTACTTATGTGAATCCAGCGGTTGGAAATCCTACATGGAGGGTACAGAGGCACACGTACTCCAGCTGCAGCCAGTAATTTAAAGTGTGGCCTCTGCTAGCAGATGGACCACGTCTTCACGGTTTGCCCTTTTTATCTTGTAAAGTAGTGTGTGAATTTAGTGCTGGGTTAAAGTATCATACTGCTAGCCCTAGCTAAGGACATTTTCTATTCACTCACCTTACCGGTGCAGCCTCCACCCTGCCCTACCAAAGTGTTTCAGTCCTGCCCTGGAAGGACCATCTCCAGGCATGAGAAGGCAGGTCAGCCTCCCTGCCCTCTCAGTCCTTAGGCATGATCTGAAATATGGTCTTCTGCTCTTTCAAAGCCCATCCATTGCGTATGAATTTCATTCTTTTCCATGTTACTAGCATTCCTTGTTAAACCAAGAGAAAAAGAGCCGTTTCCCTTGAAAAACAATGACAAGCAAGTAAAAAGAAAACCCATTCCGTACGCATAGAATTATAGTCACGTTGAAGGATCTCTTAACCTAGTCCCTTTCCAAGGCTATAATGTAGGGGGAAAGTGCAGCGGGTTTAAACCACATGATACTAATCTCACCTGCGTTGAAGGAGAAGCTCCAGATGGTACCACTTTACGGCAACAGGCACCACCCTCCCATTAGAGAACCACGCAGAGGATGAAGGGAAGGGTGCTGGCTGTTCATCTGGGATGGAAGCCATTATGCCTGGGCTGGGCAGGCTGGCTCAAGGTGGGCAGCTTCGAGGCTATGCCAGGCATACCTTGCTGCACCATTATAAAGAAGGCAAGTGCACCTCCATCGAGTGCATGCTGTTGACCCCAGCCATACACACAGCTGAGTGTCTAGACTTGCCCCTGGCTACAGACTGTGCCTCTCTTGGACCATTGTATTGTAGCTAGCCCCTTCTCCTACCACTTTTTGGGTCCTGCCCTGCTGTTTTCATGGGAATGGGGAGAGGGCAACATTCCCAAATCCTATGACCCCACAGAGCCGGTGAGCAGGAGCTAGGCAATGTAAAAAGGAATATGCCAGGAGATAGGAAGGACCTAGCTGTTTAAGGGTTTACATCCTGACAGCTACAGCCTGGCACTTATTTGAAAAACTTATTGCTGGTGCTCTGTTGCCTCCCATTCCTGATGGAGTCTTCAGGCAGCCGGCGGAGCAGGACAAGGCTGCAAAAGCAGCAAAAGGGGAGTCAGCATTTTAACCAGATCAGTGGAGGGGAAAAAATAGAACCTGGCAAGTGTTCAGAATCCATGAAAGGAGCATAATGCAAGGCAAGCAGCCATAGGCTGCAGCCTGACAATTCAGGAGCAAACAGAAAGCAAACCGTAAGAGTGGCTTCCCACCCCGTAAGCTTTTCCCAAGGAAATGAGCTAAGAGTGAGAACTTTGAAAAAATAGAAAGGAGCAAGTAGGTTTTTTTAAAAAAAAACAACCACACCCTAAACTAGTTTAAAAGGAAAAATCTGTTGATTTTACTGTAAATTAAAATTTTGCACCCTGCCCTAAAAATAGATGAACTATTATATCAGTTATCAGGTGAGACAAAACTCAGACAGACAGGAAGGTAACAAGATGTTATACAGTTCATATGAATTATTTTTAAAATTTCCCATAGATTTTAACGTCAGAAGGCTTTATGTGGCAATTTAAGGGGCTTAAAAATGTAACAAGGAACTCGCTGAATTAGTTCTCACGTGGTTATTTGGGAATTTGTGTGACAATTGTTTTCCTGTTGTGCTTAGACCCAGGGAGATGCAGCCTTTTCAGAAAGTGCCTGGTGGTCAAATTTGCAGAGCATTAAAATGGTGCCTTGTGTATTTTTGGCATTGTTGCTGGCTCGTGCTAGCATTAATGGGAAGGGGCACTGAAGGAAAGCAGTTGCAACAGCATTGTGCCAATCAGAGCTGCTACTTAAGGAAGCTTGCGGTGGAGTTGTTTGCTGCTTACTACTGCCAGTGGGTTTCTCTTTGTGCACAGGAACTGAGATGGCTTGGAGGGAAATTTTCATTTCATTTACAACCCCTCTTCATTGCATATTGTCATTATCCTGTCTTGCTCTCTCTTTGGGGCTCATCCTGAGAGGTGTGAGAAACCCCAACTCTGCTTTGGGTTGGAACCTCTGATATTTGTCTTTAATCAGAAGAAAACAAAAAGTTAGAAAGAGGTAGAGGAAGCCCACTTTTCTCTCTAACCTAGTAAATGATATTGCTGTGCAAGTAGATTCTACTGCAGAAATATTTGCTGGAAAGTCCTATTGTCTTTAAGTTTATAAATGGCTGATAGCATTTTAATAGGAGATTTTTTTAAACGTGTGGAGTCACACTGTTCTTTTGCTACCTAAGTAGGAAGGTGAAAAAGCAGGATTTTGGGCTTTTGGTGTTGCTATATATGAAATGCCCACCCACACCCACTTTCCCTCGCCCCCTCCCTGTCCTCATTCAAGACTCTCAAGACACTTTTCTTTCAGAAAGGCTACAGTAGGGAGCTAACAACATAGAACAAAACTTCAGGTGTACTCCCTCTGCTTGGTGTCCTAGCACATCCTTTCTTCTCTGTAGTTATCTTAAAACATGTCAGCCCAAGCCCAAAGAACTTATCAGTGCTTTGTACATTAATTTATAATAACTCATAGTTATTTAAGAGATAAGTGGGAGGGCTGCAAGGCAAATTAAGTCAGCTGCTCAAAAGCTTGTGGCTTTTGTAGATCAGTGTCTAATGACTCAAGGCCCAATTCTGCAAGCCCTCCACCTGTCAAATTACCATAGACCTTAGTGAGAGTTCTGCACACAGGGGGTTTACAAGATCAAACTGAAAGGTCTGTTTTAACTCACCCATTAGGTCCTGGATTTGACTCCTGTATCAGGATGCTCATACTCCTCATATTGCAGTGTACCATAGACATGAACTGGTGATAGCTGTCCACAGCATGTCTGAAACAATGTGGCAGTCATACCATCAGGGGGGCAATATACAGTGGCTACTGGGGATATTCCCCAAAGTGAAATGATGGGAACTCTCAAGCCCCTGCTGCGAACAGCTTTGGATGAATCTAGGCAGATTGCAACGTAACTGCATTCCCCTTGATCCTTTCCAGTTACCGCGTTGGGAACCTCTTCCTTTTTATGGAAATCAGCAATGTGTTAGCAGTGTCATAACAGATACTGAAAGTGTATGGTGGCCTCGAGCAATGCAGGTGAGACAGCAGGAAGGTTTTTCATTTTAAATTAAATTCGTAAATGGTAGGAACTTTTAGTTTTTAATATGAACAGTGATTTATGATGGTATGAGCCAAAAGTGGACAAATTCATCAAACATACTGTCTTTTTTTTGTCATAGAAGGACCAGATCAAAGTCACATGATTGTTAGACTTTTGGAGCCAGATCTCCAGTTGGTATAAATGCGTGTAGCTCCACTGCCTACAACAGAGCGACACCAGTTTACACTAAGGGTTTAGCCTTTGGTTGCCTTGGTTTCACTACTGTTTTATGAGACAATGAATTGGAAATCTGCCAAATTAAATTCTTTTCCTTTCTACCAGCCACTTTATAACACTGAAAATATTATACAACATGCTTTTAGTACATGCAACCTGAGACCCCAAGTTTCCCTTCTGTATGTTAGGTCCCAAGAAATGCTGCAGCACTAATATTCCTCTTCAAGTTATCCTGGGTTCATGATCTTTGTCCTTCCTGAGGCTCCCGTCTGTCCTCCAAAAATACTGTATTTAAATTGATTATTTTAACCGCACCTTTGTCGCCATTGTTCTCTGTTGTTGCCAGTCTAGGATACTGCCAGAATGCTTATTTCCAAGTTGTATTTAAAGCAGGGGTGGGCAAACTTTTTGGCCCAAGGGCCACATCTGGGTATGGAAATTGTATAGCAGGTCATGAATGGTCACAAAATTAGGGGTTGGGGTGCAGAAGAGGGTGAGGACTCTGGCTGGGGGGCGCGGGCTCTGGGGTGGGGCCAGAAATGAGGAGTTCAGGTTATGGGAGGGTGCTCCAGGCTGGGACCGAGGGGTTCAGAGGGTGGGAGGGAGATCAGGGCTAGGGCAGGGGGTTGGGGCACAGGAGAGAGTCAGGGGGGTAGGCTCCGGGTAGCGCTTACCTCAAGCAGCTCCCAGAAGCTGCAACATGTTCCCTCTCCAGCTCCTATGCGGAGGCGCAGCCAAGCAGCTCTGCACGCGGCCCTGTCCGCAGGTACCGCCCCCTGAAGCTCCCATTGGCCACGGTTCCTGGCCAATGGGAGCTGCGGGGGAAGCACTTGGGGTGGGGCAGGGTGCAGAGCCCCCTGGCTGCCCCTACGTGTAGGTGCTGGAGGGGGGGACATGCCGCTGCTTCTGGGAGCTGCACGGAGTTGGGCAAGCCACTGACCCCAGCGGAAACTCGAGGGCCAGATTAAAACGTCTGGAGGGCCGGGTGTAGCCCCCAGGTCATAGTTTGCCCACCCCTGTTGTAGAGACTCAGGCTGCAGCCAAATTCAACCTTGACTTTAGTAGAGCTAAACTTTAGTAGTCTAGCTACAAAAGATGGATTTTAAGTGTCTAATATTTACAGATTTGTCATGGGACTAAATAAAGCAGAGTTCTGACAATATCTCCAAATCTATTGGGTTACCTTTAAAATCAAACCCCCAGCTAAATTTATTTCAAGGCACAGTTCTAAATTATTGACCTACAGTACACATTTCTGGTCCAAAATAATGTAAAGTCTTCACTACAACAGATATTCTTTTGTGAAGGGCAAATTGGGAGGTTAACCAATGCTGAGGTATTTGAGGAAAATCTTTTTTTTAGTGACATACGGGTATTTCCTCACTCCCCCATTAGGGAAATGCCTTAAGTGCAGATATCTAAATGAACTGGAACAAGCCAAATACCCATAAAGCCTGAAGTATAACACACTACTTAAGGAAATGTTTTCAATTAGCAGGTCAGATTCTGAAGATGCTGCTTGACCACGAAGCCAGGAAAGGCCCTCAAGGATTAGCTCACCCTGCTGTGCTTATGTAGCCAGAAGAAAATACCTCCCAGCTCATGACTGTAATTTATCCTCTAGCAATAAATCTGTAGTTCTCTGTGTTGAAGGTTGATGGCTGTCAATTTGTCAGCAAATGCAGGTCCCAGTAGCATATGCCCCTGCAGAGAAACAGCACAAAACCATGACACATGCCTAGCTATGGGCATGATCCAGCAAAGAGCTGAGAGTCCTGAAGAAAAATAATGGATGATGATCAGCAACTCGCAAGAGAAGCAGCCCCTCCCTGGATCAGGCCCTGACATTGCAAGGCACGGGATGAGCTTAGCAATAACACACAGTTTCTCTTTTCTTTGAATTTAGCCATGCTTTAGGTATTCCATCTAATGTCACTTAAAGATAACTAAAACTAATATTCAGCACACGTACCCTACCTGACAGTTTCTACAGAAGTCAAGAGCATGGAAAGCAGCTGATTTGTTAACCCTCAAAACATTAAAGGATCCATCTATGTTACACACACACATACATCCCCAGGTGAGCAGAACCCTTAAAAAAACAAACAGGTCTCTTTTCCTTTGTATTTCATCTGAGGTCTAAATGAGGCCAGCACCTCTATTAGTAGCTATTTCTGGTATCAGACTGTTGGCTAATTGTTTGTTGCTGCTGGACCTGAGATTGAGAGCTGAAGAAACTATTTGTGGTGTGTTGTCCTGCTTCACCCTGTTGCCGGCACCCAGTGCCGAGAGGCTGAACAACAGCTTGAGTGGTTCGTTACCCGGTGTGCTGCACCCAATAATCACAACGGGGTGGAGAAGCAGAAAAGTTTATTTGCAGCTGCAAAAAGGTACAGGGAGAATAAAATCTCAAATCCTGCACACAGAGCAGGAAGTTACACAGGCTTTTATACATCCTTTTTCTCAGCATACTTATCCAATAGCAAGCTGCCCCAAGTATCCATATAGCCAGCCAATCCAGTTCCCAGCTAGTTCCCTGATTCTCTGTATTATTTGTTAAACTATACATAAAGCTGCTTTATTCAGCATTGTTCTTCCATATCTCCCCTGTTTGGCCTTGCTTAGTTTCAGGCAGTCTGACTCATATTGTTGCAGATTCTTAGCATAACTGCTGTGTGTGCCTCCAGGCGGGGGGGCCAAGGACACTTGGGCCTAGTACGCAGAGCTGCTGCGAGTGCCTCCAGGCAGGAGGGGGGCCAAGGACACCGGGGCCTAGTGCGAGGGGGCTTCATCGACACTCGTGGTCTTCCATCCCCTCGAGTTACCTAGTGGCCATGCCCCAGTGTTCCCAACAACTCCCCCCTTTGAGAACACTCAACAGCCTTGGCTCTGAGTTTTCTCACTTGGGCTTGCTACATTGGAGATATTAACTGGACAGCAAGTTACATTTCCAAACCCCTTTTTTGTGGTAAGATTATTTGTGTTTCCCTAAAAGGGGAGGAACCATTACACCCACACTGTTGGCCTCCCCTGTTGGTCTTTATCCAATACCCATCAGCCCACTGTGTAATAACACAGGAGCTCTTTTTCACAGGATGCCCATAGTGATCAGATTGGTTTTGGGTAAAACATAACACTCCCTTAGTGAGTACTGCAACTGAATACTCCTGGTCCTGATAGGTGGCTTGCTGTAAAGAGATCTTGTTCCAGAACGGTGAGTCCGTTCTTTCCTGCTCTTTGGTGGTGGCTAATTCTGCTAGGGTCAAGGGCAGCATGTCAAGGGGCATTCCCGTTTTGGGGGATAGTGGAGTTGGAGCACATACCCAGCAATCAGTCTGGTTTGTTAAATTAGCAACATGGTGCGCAAGCAAAACAAAGGAGTTATGCTCCCGATATGCACAGTTTGGAAATACCAATACAGAGAATAACAATGTTACCCAATTAATTATCACCAGAGTCTTTCCAACCCAGGGTCTCCAGTACCTGGGTGGGCCCATTTTAGCATTAAGGTGCCCGCTATTTGTGTCTTTTAAACAGTAGCTTTAGCCCGAGATCGTCACTAGATGAGGAGTCAGCAGGTTGGACGGTCCACTGTCCTGCTGACGAGGGGGCGGTTACTGCCTTTAGACGAGAGTGATGGATCCAGTTCTTGTGTCCCTCGATCTTTGCCGCTGTATGGGAGATCAGCAGGACGGTATAGGGTCCTTTCCACTTTTCCTGGAGAGGCTCGTCTTTCCAGGTGCGAACAAGCACAGAGTCACCGGGCTGTAAGGAGTGAACAGGAGAATCCAAGGGGAGAGGCTGGGAATCCTCGGTATGCCTGTGAAGAGACAAAAGAACAGCAGACAGGGAACACATATACTGTGACAAAAAACCATTACCCAACTCCCATTCCCCTGACAGAACCGGGGTGCCATTCATAGGCCATGCCCTTCCAAACATAATTTCAAAGGGACTGAGCCCTAATCTACCCTTTGGGAGAACGCGGATACGGAGTAGGACAAGGGGCAAAGCATCAAGCCATCGCAGTGAGGCTTCTTGGCACACTTTTGAGAGATGCCGTTTAAGGGTCTGATTGGTACGCTCCACTACACCACTGGCTTGTGGTCTCCAGGGCGTATGGAGTTTCCAGGGGATCTGTAAGGCATGTGAGATGCTTTGAATGATTTTTGATGTGAAGTGTGTCCCATTGTCAGATTCCATCCACAGGGGGAGTCCAAAGCGAGGAACGATTTCCCTAACAAACTTGAGGGCCACTGTTCTGGCAGTGCAGTTACAGCATGGGAAGGCTTCTGGCCATCCGCTGAACCGATCCACTATAACAAGGAGATATTTGAACCCTTGGGTCCGGGGAAACTCAGTAAAGTCTATTTGCCACACTTGTCCAGGGCCCGGAGTGGGTTCTAGGGCAGCTGGTGGCACAGGATGTCCCGGTCGGGGGTTATTCTTTTGGCAGACTAAGCAGTCCGCTTGTACCTGGGCAGCCAGGGGTCGGAGTCCGGAAGTGATAAAGTATTTTCCCATTAGCTGGATAAGTGCTTCCCTGCCAGCATGAGTGGTTTGATGTAGTTTCTGAAGCACTGGCCGGATTGGGCCCTTTGGTAAGAGGACCTTCCCTTCTGGGGAATGGAGCCATCCCTCCTTTTCCCGGAGACTGAGTTTGTCAGTTAGCTGTCTCTCCTCCGCAGAGTACTGAGGGGTTGGAAGTTTCCCTTACTGATGGGATAAGGGCATGCATATGGGCATTCTCAGTCTGAGG